CGACTTGCGATCAGAGTCACGGAACGGATTAAGTTCGTAAGTAGAGGTACCACTGTAGTTTCTCCACGCTGAATTCTAGTATGCTTAATTTAAAAGCCATATCAAATGAAAGACTGGTATCTATACAAAAGGCTTTTCAAAATTATTTCTTTCAGAATATGTAAATTAATGACAGGTGAATAAGTACACTGGAATTAGGTGTATGGTGACATATTGTGACGGTATGTGGGAATGACTTTCGGAGATAGGAGGAAGACCCACAGCCTTATAACGCATATAAATCTTTGTAGTATCAAGTTTATTGTCACTATTGTTCAAAAAGGCTAGTTTGTGACTTGAAAATTATATATTTATCTTTTTTTAAAATTTAGTTCTGAAGATAAATTGTATGATATATAATTATATGTCTCTCACCTGCATTATTGATATGAGACATTAGGGCCCTCTTTAACATCTTAAGATTTTTGTAATATAGGTTGTAGGCCGTCTGCATGTTGAAGTCATGCGTGTCACTGGTGCTGTCCCGGAACGTGTCATGGAAGATGATTCTTCTGAAAACTCTAGTGAAAGTGGAAGCTTAGAAATAATGGATAATAATGGAGAAATTATTCACAGACCAAAAAAACTCACATGCAGGGTAAGAGCATCATCATCTATGTCCAGATATTTTTAAAGAACAGATATTTTAAAAATACAGTTTGGTAATTACAAATCTTAAGAATACTGCAATAAGAAATTGTTTCTTTCAGTGTTCAGAGCTTCAGCTGAACTGACAATATTAAGACAGATGTGACACATGAAGCCATTGGGAAAGGTTGTCAGGCAGTACAGGGCTATATTTCATCAATATACTGATGTTACCAGGTATATATCTTCACCCAGGCTTAGCAGCAGATGGTGTCAAAGTCTTGATGCAGTAGCTAGAGTTTGTGTGGGACTGTATAGGAAGAAACAAACATTAAGTGTGGCCTTAATTCCAGCAAGACTAAGTGGGTATTGATTCAGATCTGATTCCAAGATAGGTTCATCTTGAAGGAGTGAGTTCAATTTAAGATGCTGGTGATTACTTATAAAGCCCTATATGGCTTGGATCAGAGATATCTCCGAGACTCTCTACTTTAATTAGATTTTGCCTGCTACCTACAGAAATACAGAGAGGACACACTGTAGATTCCCACCCTACAGGAAATAGGTGGAATAGGGCCCTGGAAGCAAACCTTGTCTGCTTTCCCTTTCTCTGGGACAGCTTGCTTCCCAAAGATAGGATGGCTCCTTCTGTATTAATGCTGTAGAAAAGAGTTAAAGTACTGCTCTTCCACATTTACATTTTTAGGGATAAATATTAAGCTGTATTCTAGTGAAGTAACTGCCAGTTATATGGGAATTGTTAATCTGATATTTTCAGATTGTTTTCCTTTAATAATAGATTGATTGTGTTCTGGGCTGAAGACCAGAGACAAAATGAAGCTTGGAGTGGGGGAGAGATCCATGTCCAGGATGCATAATTCTTTAGGCCCTGCCCCTGACCGTAGCACTGAAATAGGAGAAAAGCTTTCTCCACTTTATAGTCAAGGGGGCGAGGTGGGGATGAAATTCTTTTCTCTCTGCCACCACTTAGAAAGGGTTGAAAAATAAATCAGTTTCCATGTCCCAAGAGTGGAAAAGGAAGTCCATCTCAGAACTGGGCAGGAAAAATTATCCCTTGGCTGCCCTGCCTGGGCCAATAGAGAAAGTAGGGCTGGAAAGATGCATCTGTGAGTGAACATGCATGTGTTAGCAAGGGGAGTATATCGATGGTTGCCTTACCTTCTGCTGGTATGCAGCTTCTAGTGACCTCCTCTGGGGTCAATTCAATTCAGTTCCTTGATTGGAAATAATTCCCATTCCTAATCTTATGACAGTTTTGTTTTCTTTCTATTGGAGATGTATTCATATTTCAACCAACATTTTCACTGTCAGTTTTAGAAAAAGCTGCTGTTCTGCTAGTAAAGATAACCAATTTGAGAGATGTAAGAAGTCCGTTTGGTTTAGTTTTTTTTTTAACTGATATGTTGATATGTATGCAATTGACCCTTTCAAAATGTTACACATACACCCCCTCTCTCCTCTGTCTCCCTCTCTCAGATCCGTGCAACAATTTGGATTCAATTCCAAAAAGATGTTCAGAGCACAAACATAGCACTTTTTTGCAGCTCCTTCAAAGCAGCTGTAGGTGGCAGTTCAGTAGGGCAGCTGCATGATCCCAGGAAAATAAACAAATGTTTTAATAATTTGCAGAGAGGGGCCATGTCTGAATCCCAATGTGCTCTGAGGTACCAGAAGTACTTTTGGAATCAAAGCTGTGCTAATTATGAGATACAATTTTTCCCGTTTGAGATGTGTTTCTGCATTTTTGTAACTGAATACATGTTTAGAAACAATTAAAAATATTTTAGTTTACTGAATTTCTTTTTCATAATTGCACAGGTAAAAATTAAAGAAGCAACAGGACTACCACTGAATCTCTCAAACTTCGTCTTTTGTCAATATACCTTCTGGGATCAGTGTGAATCAACTGTTGCAGCACCAGTTGTAGATCCGGATGTGCCTTCACCTCTGGGCAAAGATGTCCAATTTACAGTGACTTTCTCTCATTGTAGGGTAATTATTTGTTTCTCTTGAACACCATGATTATGTTTTTGACTTGTGTACTACATATACAATGAGGATAAAAGGGATATGGGTTAATTGATTGCCTTTGTAAATACAAAAACCTAAGTGTTTTTTCATATGAATGAAGACAATGCAAACTATTCAGTATCAGTATTGACAAGCACAGATCATTTTAGTTGTCTGCAGCATCAAACTAAGTGTAGTTCATAGATATCTCAAAAACCAGTACACATAATGAATGTTGCTTTAACAACATGTTAGTTTAGTTTTAAGATGGAGAGTTCTCTTGCCTAGTTTTAAGAGGAAGAGTGTAAAAAAAAGATTTCAGAGAATAGCTCACTTTTCTGCCTATTTGAAGTCAGTAATACAATTTTGGGGCTGCCTATATTGTACTTGATTTTATGTGTTTCTAGGAATTTAAACAATTGTTGATTTTATCAAATTGCCATAAGCTATAAGCTATTACATATATCAGGCAGAGACATTGTGCATCCTGCTTCTCATAGGAATTACTACAGGTAGTCCTTGACTCATGACGATTATTGGGCCCGGAATTTCTGTTGCTAAGTGATGTGTTGCTAAGCGATGTGGTTGTAAAGCGTGACCACATCGCTTAATGACAGCAGTCCCTGCGGTCCTGGTTGCTGTTCTTAACTGAATCCCACAATCATTAGGTGAGGCAACTTCCTGCCGGCTTCCCACAACCAAAGTCTATGGGAAAGCCGGAAGGAAGTTGCAAGTCCCAGGCCCGCAGGCAGGTAAGTGGCTGCTGCTGGGTGGGGGAGGGAGCAAGAGGTGTGCAAAGATGTGGGGAAGGTGCACAAGGGGGTGCACAAGAGGCGCAGCGCTGGTCAGGAAAGGTGCATGGGGATGCATGAGAGGCACAGGCTGAAGAGGGTGCGTGAAGGGTAGGGGAGACACAGTGCAAGCACAGCAGGGCTTCGGGTGGCTGCTTCCAGGTGGGGAAGGGTGCACAAGTGGCAGGAAGTCACAGTGCAAGTGTAGCAGGACTTGAGGTGGCTGCTGCTGGGTGGGGGAGTGTATGCAAGTGTGCATCCCAGGTCAAGGAGGGTGCGAGGGGGTGCACAAGAGGCATGGCCTGGGTTGGGGAGGGTGTACAAGGATGTGAGAGGGTGAGCGAGAGGCATGGTGAGGGATGCATGAGGGTGTCAGGGAGGGTTGGGGAGGGTGCAGTGCAGTGTGAGGGGGTGCACAAGGGTGCGAGGAAGGTGCAGCGAGGGTTGGGGAGGATGTGCAGAAGTGTGCAAGTGGCCGGGGTGAGCGCAGAGGGGCTGGGGTAGGTGCACAGGTGGGGTAGATTTACCCCAGCAACTTGTGACCTTCCCTGCTAGCTTCCCCATTGACTTTCTGGGGAAGGTTGCAAATGATGATCACATGATTGTGGGGCACTGCAACCAGTCATAAGTGTGAACCTGGACTGCAATCACATTACCGTGGGGGTGCTGGGACAGCCAGAACTCTGAGGACCAGTCGTAACCACCATTTGTTCAGCGCCATTGTAATTTTGAACAGTCATTGAATGAGTGGACATAGGTCAAGGACTACCTGTAATATCATTTAAACTTCAGAGAAGACCAATGGAAAAGGGAGGTTCTTAAAAGGGGCTGGTGAGAGAAAAAAGTAAGAAGCCATTTTCTTTTGGAGAGTTGGTATCAGGATAAAAATGAAACTATTTCTTTATTGGATTTACGACTACTGTTCAAAAAAGCTTTTCTCAGGGTAGTTTTGGTTAGTTTTAAACATATGCAGTTAATATAAAATAATTAGTGATATAGAAGTTAAAGGCACCCTTCTAGAAATCAGGAAAACATTCTATTCCTGCCTCAGGTCAGGTATGAAACTATTTGGTCCCTGGGCCAGTCACTCCCTAACTACGCCAGGCAATTGCCAGGAGTCAACACTGACTTGAAAGCACAAACACAGACACCCCAAACTTTTAGCTAAAATCAATAGAACCAATGAAAAGCACATAATCATTAAAAGCAGAAAGAAATTATATTCAGTATTACATATCTGTCAGTTAGAATGATTAATTAGTAATCTTCTGATGACCTAAAAGGTAATTTTATGGTTTTTTCAGATGGAGGGAAATCATTTCAAGTTCAGGTTTGTCATTCTGAGATACAGACTTGAATATGAAATACATTGTATCCACCATTGTACAAACTGGATTTTGATTATTTGTGAAAGCATTCTAATGTTATAAAATAGAAATCTGGTAACTATGACCTGGAATCTGCATGGTACGGCATATTGGTGCAGATGAATTGATTCATGGAATTATCTGTCAGCTTTAGCCGTATTTTTCTCTATAATTGCACTCTAATTTGATTCTGGGAACTCAGTTTATTTCTTCTTTACCATGCAGAGTATGCATGTGATATATTATGTTTTCTACGGTAAATGTTCCAATTTTTTTAGGATTATGTGGTGAATGTAACAGAGGAATTTCTGGAGTTCATTGCAGATGGCGCTCTTGCTATTGAGGTCTGGGGTCACAGATGTGCTGAAAATGGGAGCTCCGTATGGGAGGTGGATTCTCTTCGTGCAAAATCCAGGACCTTGAGAGACAGGTATTATATTAGCCTTGAACTTTCATCAGGAATTAGGTATTCTGGGAGTGCTGAAAAGCATATTGATTACATTTCTTAAAAAATGTTTTTAGGTGGAATGAAGTAACACGTCAAATAGAAATGTGGGTTTCAATTCAAGAACTAAATGAAATTGGGGATTATGCAGCTGTGGAGCTCCACCAGGCAAAAGATGTAAACACAGGAGGAATTTTCCAACTTAGACAGGTATAGTGGATTGGATTTTCTCCTCTTAAAAATAACGCTAGTGTATTAGTACATTTTTATATTACATCCCTCTCCTTTTTTTTTTAATTATGCAGGGTCATTCTCGTAGAGTTCAGGTGGTAGTTAAACCAGTGCAGCATTCAGGAACATTGCCACTTATGGTTGAAGCTATTCTGTCTGTTTCCATCGGCTGTGTGACTGCCAGATCAACCAAATTGCAGCGGGGCTTAGACAGTTACCAGGTAGGAAAACTGGCCTTTTACATACTGAAACATTAAAGCATGGTGCAAATTTGGTCTTTCGGTGGTGGCATGTAACATAGCTGTCTATATGTGCATTTGAGTAGCTTTCTCAAAGTTTATACACCTTAACACATAAATGGAACATTGCATCAGTGTTAGGATGGAGAGATATCACTTCCTTCTGACCTACTTGTGACCTTCAGGTCGTTATAAGATCCCCAGTTCTTTATTGGGAGGTATGGAATGTTGAATAGACAAGTCCTGGGCAGTATGGAAGAAGAATAAATGCCAGCAAAGCATGTATGTCATGGGTTCTTAATATTCCCATTCTCTCCCTTCCCCTCTCTCTCTCTCTTTCACGTATCTCAGATCTTAGTGGCTTTGTTCATATGATTCCCTCTCTCCCCCGTTTTAAATAACCTGGTGACTTGTAGATACTTTGAACTAAAACTTTCTGAACTTCTGACCATGGTTCAGACTGGCTGGGGCTTTTGAAAGTTTACCTCCAAACACTTGGAAGAGAACCAGATTATCTATTCTGATGTAAACTATGATTTAGAATTTCTTAAATCACATTAACACCATGGGTGCATGTATCTTCACTTACTGAATACCTTGGGCTCATGTATTTGCTTCTTTTTCAGATGTGAATGGAGAAAAGTTAAATATTTCCATTTTCACTTTAGAATGAACTATAGCCCTCCATTATGTGCAAATTCTCAAGTATGGTTTGTGCTAAACTAAATTAGGGTGAAACCATCATTTGACATTGGTCTGTTTCATAAAAAATAAAAGTGGAACCATTTTCTCTCCACCTTTATGTTTAGAAAAAGATAGTGCACAAGCCTGAGGATCAGTATAGCTTGTTTACTATCTGAACTTTGGGTTAAGCGTACAACATAAAAGTGACTGCTGTTACTGATAGTTGCTTACATGGATAAGAAAATTCTCAGTGTAATAATGCCATTCCACACGCTGAAATTTATAATGTATTTCCAGGGAAAAGAATTAAAATGGTTACTGTAACTGGTAGCTGTATATCTTTCATCATTCTTCCCTTAAGGTGTAACACTTTCAAATGTAATAGGTATAACACGTTTTTAACCCTAATCATACAGAGAGCCCTATATGAAAAAGGCAAATTAAGTTTTGGATAGCATGAATAAAAGTCTTAGCTATCCTACAGAGTAGTTATTTGTGTCACTGAAGGCTCCTTAGAAGAAAAACTATACATAAAATGGATAAATTGTTCTGACTTTCCAATCAATTAAATTTAGCTTACAGTCTTTTAGCACATCTTTCTCTGATGAGTTTTTGAGTGAATGATATAGTAATACAACTACCCTTACTTGGATTGCATGTGATATCCCATAGTACCCCAAATAAAACGAACAGATAAATAGGTTAAATATGTAACACATATGTAAATGTGTTTTTTAAATGTCCATTTTTGTAAACTAGAATCTATAAACTGAGAACAAATTTTGGGTGATGGAAGACCAGATGGGCACTTCTCCTCTCCTTTTGAAGCATGACTTCAAAATTGTTGAGCAAGGGTTTCCAGTTTATGTCTGATTGCATGGAACTCTCATTCATAGAGTTTATTTCCCTTGAGAAAGTATAACTGACAAATTTCATCTCAGCAGTGTAGAGGCCTGAGCTCCCATATTCTTTATAGTGTATGTTAGAGAGGAGAGACACTTGATTGCTTCCTTGGGCAGTGTTAATAGATTACTGAGCCTGATTTGGTGATGGATTTCAAGATCTGAGTTGCATGTATATTGCATTTGTTGAGGTGTGTTACCAATAATGCATGTTCTATGTGTTTATAAAGCTTATTTTTTTCCATCAGAAAGGAGATGATGATGATGGTGATATGGATAGTTATCAGGTATTGCTGCTGTTGCTATTGAATCACATGGCATGGGGCACAGCTAATGCTAATTATCATCAACTCCAAAGGGTTTCTAGAATATTAGCACAAACTGTACTAGCTTTTGAAGTACTCTCTGGCTTTGAAGATCTCTGCTCATTCATTTAGATTAAATTTGACCTTGTATTATATTGTTACATTTGGCATCTGTACTATCAATACACCATACACTGTATTTGTTGACTGAAAATGCATTTAGCTAACCTTTGTATTGAAAATGCTCTTAGTGGCTTGCAAGATAATTAGAACAATAAAACAGCATATAAAATAAGTGGAATAGATAAAAAGATAACAGATGTTTCTTTAATAGATAAAAACCATGAGCAACTTCATAAGTAAAGTGCTTGCCTAAAAAGAAAAGTTTTCGTACGTTGATGGAGTTCAGCCAAGCAGCACTGGCTTCCCTAAGAAGGCTGTCTATATAACCAAACCAAACACAGTTCAGACTTAGTAATTGTGTCAGAATTACTTGACAGAATAATTCTTGCATAAAGCTAAAAGCTTTTTTAATGTATGAATATCTACATTTTTAGTCTCATATGAAATCCTATTAGATTTTTAAATATGGTAATCATCCAGAATCTATTTTAAATTTTGATATGATTTAATGTTATGCAAATTCAAATTCCATCTTTAGTTGTATTGTTAACTTTTTAAAAGATCCTATAAATGCTTCTTCCCTCATAATAGCCATAACAGATTTCTGAATATTAAATAATACATCTTAATTCAAAACTTATAGAGGTTTTTAACTTCCAAGAAACTGCAAAATTAGCACAGGTATTAGTTTCAACATATCCTGAAATAGTTTAATAAGTTATATGGTGACTTGTTATGGAAACCTAGTTTGAATTACTTGTAAATTTATATGCTGAGACCCAGATCAGACCTATCATGTACATAGAGGACCATTTGGATCCAATTTAAGGGATTTATAGGCAATGAGAGCTGAATTCCTTAGCAGCCCTTTTCCCAGTCAGTCCTCTCTGTCATTGGGTGCATTCCTGATTCTAAGCTGGATTGAAGGGAAAGCGGCTTCATGGTCAGACTGTGGGAAGGTAAACTGAAGCAGGCAAAAGTTATATACTCCCCTCATTCCTTTCTATTTGATTTGCATACATCCAAGTTTAAATATACAACTAAGCTGCTCTCACAAGTAGTTTGAGCCCAAATTAGCTACTAATGTGCTTCAAGCTGCTTATGGTGCTTCTTGATAATATATTCTAAGGAACAGATGAAACATTCCTGTAATGTCAGAAAGCATGATTGCATGTTTTCAGTTTTGCATGGGGATGATTTAGTTGCATTGGTAATAGCAAATTATGAGGGAATTAATGCAGTTTTAAGGGTGTTTATATTGATTTAATCATCACTTCCGTATGCTACTAAATAATTTGATTGCTGCATTACTTTCCTGCTTAGATTTAAATCACACATTTACAAAAATAAATTTGAAATAGAGAAATCTTTCTACCTATGAAAAATCTGGTGCATTTTCAGCTTTTCTTCTTTCTGCTATTTGCAATTTGGGTGAGCTTACCTTTTGGGGCAATTTATTGTGACTCTGTTGTAACTGAAGTGTTTATTCTTCTCTGTATCAGTAATCAAAATAATTAAGTAACCTCCAATCAGACCTGAAGCTGCAGAAAATTAAATATGTATATTACCATTTTGGATATATGCTCTTTTTTCACTAGGAGGAAGATTTGAACTGTGTGAGAGAGAAGTGGTCAGAAGCTCTAATAAAACGCAAAGAATACTTAGATGAGCAAATTAAAAAAATCAGCAATAAACAAGGTTTGTGACCTTTGAGGCTTAGATTCCTTTACGACTCCCTTTTGTATTGTTTAAGTATAGTGCATAGTGCTCTTGTGGAATTCTACAAATATTTATTTTAATATTTTATTTTATTTATTTATTTTTATTTGTCTAATTTATATAGCCGCCCATCTCACAAAACAAGTGACTCTGGGCTATGTACAAGCTAAAACAATTAATATCTAAAACCGTTATCGTTATTAATTATTAAAAAAAACAGGAAAAACTATAAAAAACAAAGCTAAAATAGTAAACAAAGGGATGTTAATAATAATGGAGCCATCTCACTAGTTCACCCATTTCCTGAGGTCCCCAGGCCTGCTGGCATAACCAGGTCTTGAGGGACCTACAGAAGCTCAGAAGTGATGAGGCCAACCTCACCTCAGGGCGAGAAGATTCCACAATGCGGGCACCACAACAGAAAAAGCCCCTGCCTAGGGCCAACCAAATATAGCTCTGTAGACGATAGAACCCATAACATGCCCTATCTGCTGGATCTGGTGAGATGCAACAATGTAATTGGGGAGAGGTGTTCCCTCAGATGACCTGGTCCCATGCTGTGAAGGGCTTTAAAGGTCAGCACCAGCACCTTAAATTGGGCCTGGAAACAAACTGGTAGCCAATGCAGCTCACAAAACAGAGGTGTAATGCATGTTCTACCAGCAACACACATAACTGCTTGCACCGCTGCATTTTCCACCAACTGAAGTTTCTGGATACTCTTCAAGGGTAGCCCCATGTAGAGTGCATTGCAGTAGTCCAACCAGGAGGTGACCAAGGCATGAATGACCATGAGTAGGATCCCTCAATCTAGGAACAGATGCAACTGGCACACAATATGAAATTGTGCAAAGGTTCTCCTAGCCGCAACTCACAAAATGAGATCATTGAGCAGGAATCGTGAGTCCAGGAGGACCCCAGATTGCGCATGGAGTCTGTTTGGGGCAGTACAACCCCATCTAGCACCAAAGATAGTACAGTCCTAGAACTGGAGGGCCTCAGAACCCAAAGCCACTCAATCTTGCCAGGGTTCAGTTGAAGCCTGCTGTTCCCCATCCAGACCCTTACAACCTCCAGACACCAGGATAAGATGTCCACAGCATCACTTAATTCGCCAGTGGTGGAGATGTACAATTGAGTATCATCAGCATACTGATGATACCTCACCCCATGGTGATGAATAAGCTCACCCAGCGGTCTCATGTAGATGTTGAATAGAAGAGGAGAGAGCACTGACCCCTGTAGCACCCCACACAATAGGAGCTGAGGGCAGGATCTCTCCTCTCCAGTCACCACTGATTGGAATTGGTCCCGGAGAAAGGAGGTGAGCCAGCACAACACTGTGCCATTCACCCCCAGTCTTCCGAGTCAATCCAGAAGGATACCATGGTCAATGGTATCAAAAGCCACAAAGAGGTCAAGTAAGGCAAGAACGGACACACAGCCACCATCCTGCCCATGCCAGAGATCATCCAAAAGCACAACTAATGCCGTTTCCATTCCATACCCAGATCTGAATACTGACTGAAAAGGATCCAGATAATCCACTTCATCCACCTCTGAAGCTATTGCGTAACCACCTTCTTGATCACCTTCCCCAAAAAGGGGAGGTTGGATACTGGACAAAAATTGTCCAGCAATGGCTTCTTGAGGGAGCAAAACAAGGCTTCCTTAAGAAGTAAAAGAACAACCCCCTCACTCAAGGAAGAATTCACCATCACTAGAACCCACTTACTCAACATCCCCCGGGCTGCTTTCACAAGCCAGGAGGGGCATAGATCTAAGGAGCAGGGGGTTGAGCTCAAAGACCTAAGGACCCTGCCCACTTCCTCAGATCCAGCAGGTTGAAACCATTCCCAGATAATCGGGCAACACTCCACCCTAGGCATCTTGTCCAGACTTGCAGCAAGGCCAGCGTCCAACTGTGAGCAAATCCAAGCAATTTTGTCCAACAGATGCTGAGCAAATTCCTCCGCGTGTCCCTGCAAAAGGTTCTGTGGGCCCCCTTTACGCAAGAGGGCTTGTGTCACCTGAAACAGGGCTGCGGGGTGGCAATCTGCGGATGCAATAAGGGCAAAGAAGTAATGCTGCTTCGCCGCCCTTACTGCCATGAGGTAGGCCTCAATAACAGCTCTAACCCATGTTCGGTCAAGTTCGTCTTTAGTTGAGTGCCAGCAGCACTCTGGATGTCTCTTCTCTCATTTCATCTCCTTCAGCAACTCCGCAAACCACAGGGAGTGGTGGGATCCCCGAGAGAGGATAGGCGCGATCCTCAGCTGCCCTTTTATTCCAAGCAGCAACCAGTGCTTTGGATGAATCATATAGCAGACCAGCAGGAACAACCCCCAGCTCCCTCTGAAACCCCCCTGGGTCCATCAGTCACTGGGGGCAGACCAATCTAATGGGTCCCATCTTCCTGCAGAGAATCCCATGGCAATCAGGGTGTGATCTGACCATGACAAGGGGGACACTGAAAGCTGCCCCAATTGCAGATCACATAGCCATTGCTCTGACAGGAACACCAGATCCAGTGTGTGACCACTGTCCAGTGTCGGCCTCTGGATGACCTGGGATAGGCCCATGGCACCCCTAAAAGCCGTAGGCAATTCTCGGATGACAGTTGCCACACCACCACCCCTGCCCCAGGATCTCGGCTGGTGTCACACTCGAAACCCAGCTGGGCATATCTCCTAAAGGGCCACCCCCCCCCCCTTGCAGGCCCAGCCAGGTCTCTGTAATACCAGGTTGGCCTTCTCATCCATTATGAGGGAGGCCTTATTGCAAACTGACCTGGCATTTAAGAGCAGAAGCCAGAATCTCTGGTGGTCTGCTGTCTGGGTACAAGGGCTGAGATCAAGGAGCTGGAACATGAAACCAGTATAAAACATCAGTCCCATGTTCCCTGTGAGTGGCCTGCTCCTCACCTCCCACCATATCTCCTCATGTCTGTCACTACCGTAATATTATGGCCTGCCCATTTCCCCCAAAAGGCCACTTCATCCTCCCCTTCAAGCCCCCAATTCCCAAGGCCAGAGACCTCCCATAGTGACCAATTGCATCCATCCCAGGGAGAAGAAGCCACACACCCTGAGGCATTTCAGCACTATTGGCTCTCATCATCATCGGGGCACCCAGTGCCCACCTCCCCCACTCTACACACAAACACACCCACAAATGTACACAGACACACTCACACTAGCATCCATAGGAACCCTCTCGCAGCTGGCCTCACCCGCTGGGATGAGTTTCCTTTCCATTCACCCCCACCAACCACCTCCTCAGGCTCTCACCCCAAGTAGTGGGGGGGGCACATACAAATAGAAGCATTCCTCCTCCTCTTTGGAGCTAACAGAGGGAATAGCTCTGCAGGGGAAGGGTCCACAACAGACTGCCACTCCGCTGCTGTTCCCACCACCACTCAGCCACTGCCAAAACCCCAAGCTCCAAAGTCTGGTTGGCCTCTTTAGATGGAAGGTCCCATGCTATCATACAGTTCGCGTGGTGAGAGATGGCAGCAACAAAAAAAATGGAAAGGCAGCACAGCACAAAGGGGCAACCAGCACCAGGTCCAAAAAAGTGGCCAACACGACCATAATCCTGGCACAACCTCAGTCCATCCTCAACCCTCCTCTGGTCTCCAGGCATTGTTAATGCCAGTGCAGGGCCTGAAGCATAGCAAACACATTGGCCCATTGAAAATTACATAGTTTGAAAAGAATTTTAATACAGCAACCATGATGATATTTAGTTCATTATAAAGTGAAACTGGTTATCTACTTCAATGACAGAAATTATCATGAGTTCTGTTAGAGCTGATTTCTGTCCATTGTTAATTTTAAAATGATCTGCCACATCTTCCTTCGAGATATTGAACAAAATGTATTGTATCTTAAAGGCTTTGGCTCTAGTATGCTGCCTCTTGCTTTCTCTACATGTTACTTTGCATTATAGAGAAAACAGAAGATGACATAGAAAGAGAAGCAAGGCTTGTAGAACAATGGGTGGGACTTACAGAAGAAAGAAATGCTGTGCTGGTCCCAGCACCAAACAGTGGTATTCCAGGTGCTCCTGCAAATTGGTAGGTGGAGAGAGTCTTTGCATCACATTGTGCATATAAAATAAGTTCATATGAGTATCAAAATGCAGGGTAGGAAGTTACTATGTCATACTATATGTGGGGATTTTTAATGTTAAATTTTATATCACATCATGCTGATGTTCTGAGAAAAGATATGGTAAAGTTTTTTAGTGTTATCTTTGAAATACTTTTTCCAAGTCTGATTGCCATAGAAAGTTTGGGAATTAAAATATATGGGAAGAATTAATTCCTATTTCACCACTTCAGTACAATAGTTATACATTTAGATGTATTATACTCTGTCATTCAGGCTGAGAGCCAGTGTGGTGTAAGATATTGGATTGAATGGCTTTGGGCTAATCACACACTCTCAGGCCAACCTACTCTACAGAGTTGTTGTTATGGGGAAAAATAGAAGGAGGGAGCATCTTTTGGGTGAGACCTCAGTTTGTTTCCAAATAAATAGTAATAGGCTCATCCAGATTATTTACTTAATTTCTGTCCCATCTTTCATCCAGGAACTCAAGATGATAGCAATTTCTGTATATGGTGTGGATGAATGCAGAAATTTATTAGTTGTTAAATTAAAAGAAAATCTTACTACATTTTTCTAAATAGTCCTATAAGGATCTAAGGGAACATGAATTCCAAAATTATAGAATTTAAGACTGTTGCAATGAATTTAAAGGAAGAACAAGTGGGGAAAAAAGAATTTGAGATGGAATGGTCAGGTTTGAGGCATTAATGGCTTATTACCTAGGAAAGTGATAGGGTATCTGTGTAATTCCTAAATGAGACCTTGGCTGAAATCTGATGAGCTTCTCAAATCTCATCTGAAGTTTCAGAATTATTACATGAGATGTTAGACAATCACAGGAATGAAATCACCAATACCCACCACAATCATCATCATCTGCTTTCTCACTCAAAACTGCTTGTGCTTCAGGCTTAGCATAAAGCCTGAAAAGCCAGTGATGCTTTTAAGTCTTGCCCCATCCAGTGTTAACAGCCAGCCTGCTTATTAGCTAGCACTAGTCACCAAAAACATATTAAATCAGTGTTGCATGCTCTGAATTGGTTGCCAATAAGTTTCTAGGTGCATTTCAAAATGCTGGCTTTAACCCACAAAACTTTATATAACATTCTGCACCAGATGAAACTTCTGGGTGGTCTTCAAAGGCAGCGCCATGTAGAGCGTGTTGCAGTAATCAAGCTGTGAGGTGGCCAGGGCAGGAGTGACTGTCTGAAGGGCCCCCTGATCTAGGAAAGGGCGCAACTGACACATCAGATAAAGCTGGGCAAAAGTTTTCCTGGCCGTAGCTGCCACCTGCTCATTGAGTAGGAGCTATGAGTCCAGGAAGACCCCCCAAATTGCACACCATCCTCGAATGGGGAAGTGCAACCCCATCCAAGTTAAAGTTGGAATATCCCCAGATCTGGGCAGTTCAAACACCCACAGCCACTCAGTCTTGGTAGGATTGAGTTGGAGACGGTTCCTCCCCATCCAAACCCACACAGCCTCCAGGCACTGGGACAGAACCTCAATAGCCTCACATGGTCAGCCCGGAGTCAAAAGATATAATTGGGTATCATCAGCGTACTGATGATACTGAACTCCAAAGCAGCAGATGACCTCACCCAGTGGTTTCATGTAGATGTTGAAAAGGAGGGGAGAATAGAACCCTGTGGCACCCCACAATTGAGAGGCCTAGGAGACAGTCTTTCCCCACCACCTAACACCTACTGGCACCGGCCCTGGAGAAAGAATGAGAACCGCTGTAAAACTGTGCCCCCAATCCCCAACCATGGAGCCAGCTCAGAAAGATACTGTGGTTGATGGTATCGAAAGCCACTGAGAATCAAGGAGCACAAGGATGGATGCACCACCACCATCCCAGCTCCGCCACAGGTCATCAACAAGTGTGACCAAAGCTATCTCAGTACTAAATCCTGCCCTGAAACTTTTCTGAAATGGGTCTAGATAATCTGTTTCCTCCAGGGTTCTCCTCAGCTGCAGACTGACAGTCTCCTCAACAACCTTCCCCAACAAGGGAAGGTTGGAGACTGGTCGATAGTTATTGAAAACTGTTGGGTCCAAGGATGGCCTCTGAAAGAGGAGGTGCATCACCGCCTCTTTCATGGCTGATGGTGTCACCCCCTCTGTCAGAGAGGGCAACACTCTGCAAGGACCCAACTATGGGTCATCTCCCTGGCCACTTTCGTAACTTAGGAGGGACCCAGATCCAGTAAACAGGTGGCCAAGCTGACAGCAGAGAGAGCCCTGTCCACTTCCTCAGGTGTCACCAGTTCAAACTCATCCCAGATCACACTACCATACTATAATCCAGGCACTTCAGCCTGCTCTGCCAGTCAGAGTCCAAGACAGAGCAAATCTGAGTGACTTTATCCACCAGATAGCCTGAATAATCTTCTCAAAGGCCGAGCAGATGTTCTGGGGGGCTCTCCCTACTCAATAGGGAAGGATCACCCTTAAACAGGACCGCTTGACAGCTATCGTGATATACTGACCACCAAAGGAATGAAAGGAGATTCCCCCATCCCCAAATTCTGCTTTCTCTGTGAATTCTGGAACTGAAGGGCTCCTATGTGGGTCTGTAGTTACACTGGAACATTTTGGTTAATCCTTTATATTAATGCAAATTCTTTTTTAAACAATGATTTGGAGTTTTCCATTAAAATAACTCTGCAAGTTATGATTCAGTCTATTGATTGATATATTTCTTTATTAGGGTTCCACCTCCTGGAATGGAAACACATGTCCCTGTACTTTTTCTTGATTTGAATGGTAAGTTCCAATTTGGTAGTGGCTGTTGTTGAAGCCGTAGAATCTGCTGTATTTAGTTGGAAGCTAGAGATGAAGCATGGAAGGATATGGCAGACATTTAAATAAAGTTTTATCAAGTACTGTGATAAATTTAGGTTGTACTTAAGATAACTTGAATACCAACCCCCCCACCCCCAGTACTTGTCCTCACTTAAAAAACAGAATCCAGCTGTTGATATTGATTGCCACTCTATCAGAAATGTATTTCTCAGTAGTGTAACTTGCATTTAGGATTTCTTTGATGTTTGTTTGGTTGTTTGTTTGTTGTAGTTCTACCCACATGTTCCTGGGTAGAATTTAAAGGTAGACCCGCCTTAATTGTAATTTCATTTTCTTTCTTGGTAGCCGATGATCTTAGTGCCAATGAACAGCTTATAGGTCCACATGCATCAGGAGTGAATTCAATACTACCAAAGGAGCACGGAAGTCAGTTTTTTTATTTGCCAATAATAAAGCACAGTAAGGATGAGGTAATTACTAGCAGGCAAATTTATGGTTATTCTGGTTCTATTACTGATGGCCTGTTATATATGATTAATATTATTTCATTCAAATCTCTAACACTCATTCTTTCTTGCATTTTCTTTATTGAACAACTATGCCAATTCTGTTGTGTTTCAACATGATTTAACAGTAGTCTGAGTTAACTTTAATTTGTGTTTTGTTTAGACTTATTTCTCAAGAATAAAATTTAACACATAGATGTTTCAAGAGATTATTTTAAAAAATGTCTTTCTAGTTTTTTAATTCACATTATTGTGGCCCTTTTGTTGACTTTTTCACTTGTGTCCCTTTTGCCTTGCTGCCTTACGTGTGATCATTTCCTAGCTAATTTGCACCAAAATAGCAGTGACCTCATGTTCAGCTTCTTGGGACATCTGATTGATCACTATGGAAAATAAGATGTAGACTAAACTTCATTAATCTTTTGTTACCTAGATGTATTCAAACTACAACTCCCCAAATTTACAAATAATATAGCCAGTAGCCGGGAATTCTGGAAGTGGTAGTTCCAATAAGAGGACACCAGATTTAGAAAAGCTGCGTTAGAATTTTGGTGTAATCCAACTGGGTTTGTATTGTATTAAATAAGAGATACTATAGCCAATTTTTCTTAATGTAAGAATAGATACAAGAGCTTCTTCCTTATAGTAGAGAAGGGTATCCTAAAACTAAGTTGCTCCTCCCATTTGGTCCAGACTTTTCAATGAGGATATGGCAAATGTGAAAGCATTTAGGTCATCAAAAGGCTAATAATGCTACAGCAGCTAAATTTCTTGCTAATACATATATGCATTTGCAGATAATCTGCTAAGTTCATAATTGAATACAGAATTAAAAGTCTGCTAGCAGAAGATCAAGCCTGCTGACGCAGAAAAAGAACAATGATTTATAATTTATTCTGATTCAATCCTTGGTAACCCTGTTCTGAGCTTCCCCTATGGGAAATATTATGAAAAATTCTTGGGAATTAAGTATGTAGTGGAGGGAAGAGATTATTTCTGAATAGGAGGGTAAGAAGTTGAATCTCTCTGAGGTCCAGCTAAATCTAATACTGTGACTAGATATTTAGAAAACACCTCTGTGTTCATTAGACTGAGGCAATCCAGTCCAATCCATATGCCTTATAACTAGAACTGGAATTTTCTTGAAAGAGATACCTAGACTAGACCAGTCAGAGACTTTTTGGAAATACAGTAATCTCCTTCTGATTAAGAGGATACTCAATTGAAATTTCCTCCCGCTGATGTGACTGAGTGCTGCAGAAAATGGCTTAAAATAGATTTGCTGAACAGATGCTGAACTAGGAGACATAGATCCTTTAAAATGGCCTTTTCTGTCTAAACTGCATTCTATGGATTCTAATGAGTGTACAGTGTGGTCCAAAGAAACAGAACCCACTCTTCTTAGGCTTGTAAGCCAAAAGGGTGCTGAGTTGAAAAGGAGACCCATGTATCAGAAGTAAAATATAATTCATTATGGTGTGCAAATAATTTGCATTAAACATGTACTATGGAGAGGTTGCACATAACAAGCACTAATGAGCTAGCCTCTACCTTCCTTAAAATAATAAAAGTACCTAGCTGTCAATGGCAGATTATATTAAAAAATCTTCAGGAATTTAATGAACATTAATTTTTAAAAAATGGGAAAAAGATGTCGGTCTCAAACTTGAGGCATTATTCTGTACCTTACCATTCTACTTGTAAATTGATTGCAGCTATCACTGCCTTAGGAGATCTCTGTAGGGAAAAAATCTGAATATGGCAATCTCTGCATATCCTTCAAACTTTGGCTCTTCAGGAAAAGTGGATTAAAAATCTCTACAGAGAAGAACATTTCTGTCTCTCTTTGATGAGGAGATTAGAATTCTAGGATCATTAACCTCTTGATGTACTGAGGCAAAATCACAGTATTCTGGGACATTGCAGAGCCTCTGCAAGAGCAGACTTTCACAGAACGTTGTATGCCTCTCTTACAAAGAGTAGAGCCCATGTTTTCAAGGAAGTTAGATAATTTTGGGGCCTAGAGGTATCCACAGGTAGGGTCCACAGGTAGGGTCAAGCGGGGCAGATGATGAAAGCAGGATTGCACTGTTGCAATGCAAGCTTTGTTGTTGTGGGGAAAATAGGAGGAGGAAGGAGTATTAGGTATGTTTGCTGCCTTGAGTTATTTATAAAAATAATAAAGGTGGGATAAAAAAATGTAAAAAAAAAGCTTGCTCCTTTTGTACATGACATTGCACACACATAGAAGGAGTGTGATGCTTATTGGATCTCACAGATGCCTCTGTTGGAGCCTTCTATTAACATGTTCTCTTCTTCTCTACAAGAAGGAGGAGGCCCCTTAAGAATGTGGGAACAAGAGAATTGGCTCTGAGTTTTCAACCCAAGTGCACTTCTGCACTAGGTTTCATCTTGTATTTGTGTGCATGTCCCCTTTGATGTAGGCTGTGATCATGCATCTCACATTTGTGGCTCCTTGGAACGGTAGTTGTTAGAAGCATAATCCTGAATGATAGGACCAGCCACCTCTCAGCCATAAGAGGTAGAAGGGTATTGCTTTATTCTTCAGATTTTCCTGTTAGGTGTCTCAGTGTACACTTCATTATCTAGGATAAATCATTTTCTTCAATAAAAGGTAACTTTGCACTTCAGATCCACATAGAGATTAGGTGAGTTTTCTATTTCACATTCTACCAAACTATGCCTTTAGATTTCAGCCACTGCAGCCTGGGATTCTTCTGTGCATGATTCAGTCCATTTAAACAGAGTAACACCTCAAAATGAGAGAATATATTTGATTCTCAAGATTACAGTCCAACTCAGCCATCCTGCTGCAATGGAACTAGTGTTACGTAAAAGGATTGCTGCTAATATTTATAATAAACAGGTAAGCGATGTGCTGATATACCCTAGATCTTTCCGTATGTTCTGTTTTGGTCATATTTTTTCCCATTTTATTATTTTAGCAGTTGAAAGAAAAATGAGAGGTAATAAACTTGGATGGGAAGTACATCCATTCAGTATTCTTCCATATCTACCTGTAGTTTCATCCAGAAGTAAACGTCACTGAGTAAAAATCAGTGTTATAACTCACTGTTTCAGTAATTTTGTAATTGTCCAAAGTATGTGTAGTCTCTATGAGAGTATTTGTGTACATAGGATTTCCTTTTAATTTACTGGTAATTTGAACAGTTCCTATATCTAGGATGCATTCATTTTAGAACAGGTGCTTGCAGCTATGTCAGACAGATATCTGTAAAAGCCATATATACCTGATACTGGAAAAGCACAAGACGATAATTGCAGTTTCTCATCATGCATTTTTAACATTCTAGTTAAATCTCATTCATTCTTGAAAAGTTCAAAAGGGATTTAATGTTATGCCTAACAGTTTTCTGTTCTATCACTTACTGGGTGCACTCCCATTTAGTTTTAACAGTTTGAAAACATGTCACATGGACTTAAATAATAGATCTGTGTTGATCCCATATGACAAAAAAAATCCATACTTTTTTCTAACAGTTCTTATATGTGCTATGCCTGAAGTAGATCTGAGAAGATATATTTAATATGTATTTAATATTCTGGATTAGAGGAGTTTTTAGTAATTTGCTCACTTATTGTTTCATTTTTTCCTAGAGTTTTACACAAAGTCTCAAACGAAGAATATCTCTAAAAAATATATGGTATGCTTGTGGTGTGACTTATGAAATAGTATCAAACATACCAAAGGTAAATCAACTGTGCTCATATCAAGAAATTAGAATACCTAACTGTTTTTTCACATTGAGTCATTCTGACATGAACTTTGTTGCAGACTGAACTAATAAGGTTGCAGTCCTACACTAAACCTACAATTTAAATTTTAGGCCACAGAAGAAATTGAGGATCGGGAGACTCTAGCTCTGATGGCAGCCAGAAATGAAAATGAGGGTACATCTGATGGTGAAACATATATTGAAAAGTATATACGTGGAGTATTACAAGTTGAAAATATTTTGAGTCTTGAACGGCTGCGACAGGTGAATAGAAAGAAAGCTTCAGGCTTGTTAAATTGTTGTAATTGTTTTCTAGGTATTGTATGAGCAGCACTTTGAATCCAAAGCAGAAAAGGGTTAGGGTTCAAAGTAAGGAGGCACTAATGGTGTTTGGGACAGGCATGCTGTTGGTGCCTCCTTACTTAATGCATTTTTCTGGGAATGAATGGCTACTGTGTGAACCCAGGAAATGATGCAGTTTTCTTTAAGGAGGTATCAACAGGTGTGGCGTGCCTACCTGTGCATCCTCCAAAGCACTGTTTCTGCATGCACATCCCTGATGTTTCCTTAATGTTGTCATTACTCTAGTATTAGATGGATGGCAGATCACTTTAAAGACTTACTTCCTGAGATACATTTTTAAAGTGATAACCAATCCTTGCTGTGTCTTGAGATAATAAAGATGATCATCACTGGATTATGCAAAAGTAAAAAAAAAACAGTATGCTGTATAAATAAATGTAGTTCTTACGTATCCTTATATATCTTACATATACTGAGAATGGAGCCTTATTTATAAATAGATATATATGCATACAATATTGCTTGTTAATTGCCTAGCTCTATTAAAGGGGGTATAATTCAATGTATTCCTTCTATTTTAACACAGGCCGTTACAGTCAAAGAAGCTGTTTCTGCTAAGACCCGACACATACAAAGGAGCATTAGCACACCAAATGTTCACAACGTAAGATAATCTTCAAAGATGATACACTCCTGTATTAATATAAATATTAATGTTATAGACAAATGTGCATAAATTCAGACAGTGTAATAAATGGGCATTTTTATGAAATGTAAGACTAGTAGATTTCTGCTAGTTTTTTGAGGCAATCTACAGTTTTATTTGGGGCATTTTATTTATTTACTCAGTTTCTAAGGCTGCCCAATCACAAAGCTACTCAAAGTGGCTTAAAAAGAGGATTAAAGGCACATTGTAATAACAAGGAAGAATCAAAAAGATAAAGCAGCCACACACAAGGAAGGCAGAAACTTCAGTTATATCCCGTCCAGCAGGCCCACAAGCTGCCCCTACCCAATATCTATCAGAAAGCCAGCTTTTTGAGGCCTTTCTGAATGATAGCAGAGTTGGGACTGTACGGATATTGGGGGAAATGCTGTTTCAAAGGACAAGGCACATCTCCTGGGCCGATAACATGTTGTTCAGTTGATGGGGCCTGGTATATGCTAACTCTGCCTGATCTTACAGGATGGGCGTTGGGCAGAAAAGTGGTCCTGCAAATATCCAGATTAAGATAGGGGATGGAACAATGGTTTAAGTTAATAGGGAATTTTCTCCCACCACCCACTTAGTAAAATAAGTTGCTTTTTAAGCCACCTATAATCTTTCTGTCAATGGTTGACCATGTTAGTTGAGTAAATGTTTTAAAAAGACATTTTGAAATCTAAGTTCTGTTTTTAATATATTCAAGAACTATTTTCAGATATACTCAAAATTGCATTTAGAAAAATTAATTTTAAATATATGATAAATTGTAGATTAAGGTTTATTTGCCATGAATGTCAGTATCATGTACAGATGTGTCTAAACTTAGCAAGTAGATCGTCCTGGAGTGTAACCTCTTAGCAGGTTGATAGCATTAATTGGATTAAAACTTACTGCTGCTGTTCTTATTTTAGGTATCTTCTAGTCGATTAGATCTTTCTGGCTGTGATGAAGATAAGGTATTGGAATTATTGGCAATATATTTAGTCTTTTAAAGTGTTTTGAAAATATGGTATAACATATTCCTTTTTTTCTTCATTTTTAATACAGGATTATTTAGATATTTAAAATAATGTATATCAACATTTAGGAAAATGATTGCAGATTGTTTAGAATAGGTACTTGGTATTAGTGAGTAGGAAAAAAATCTGTGAATACTTGTTAAATTCAACATAATTGGTTTTCTCTTGGTTGATGGCGAAGGGGGTACAATAAAGATAACTACAATGTAAATTGTACTAAGTACAGTGGTACCTCTACTTACTAACGCCCCGACTTACGAATTTTTCAAGATATGACCAGCTCCAGCCCCCAAAAATTTACCTCTACTTACGAACTCGCCTCGACTTACGAACCGGATCCGCGGCCATTTTCCGCCTGTTCCACATGGTCCGCAGCCATTTTTCTGCCCATGCCATGTGGTCCGTGGCCATTTTCCACCCGTTCCACGTGGTCCACAGCCGTTTTTCTGCCCCTGACACGTGGTCTGTGGCCATTTTTCCGCCCTGCCGCGTGGTCAGCGGCCATTTTTCCGCCCCTGATGCGTGGTCCGCGGATTCCGGAACGCATTAACGGTAATTACATTGAACCTTATGGGAAAATTTACTTCGACTTGTGACCAACTGGACTTGCGATCAGAGTCATGGAACGGATTAAGTTCGTAAGTAGAGGTACCACTGTACAAAGATACCTAGAAATTTTTCCATTTCTTACTTATACACCAACAGTTATTGGATACTTTTGCATCGTTTTTGAAAAATATGCCACTGTAAACTGTTGAATAGTTGGAGCCATAGTTATTTGGACAGTGCTGAAGGATAAGTCTTTTAGCATGCAATAGGAACATAGTTAAAAAGAATATAAACATCTGAGAATGTGAATTGTTTCACTATTGTTAAAATACGTAATAACTTTTTCCTAAAGGGGAATGATCCCAAGTAGTCCTTGCTTAATGACTGTTTTTTCAGCGACCATTCAAAGTTACAATGGTACTGAACAAATGGTAGTTATGGCCGGTCCTACGGTCAATACAATGCTGCCGTGGTCACGTGATCAAAATGTGGGTGCTTGGCGGCCTGCCTGCATTTACAACTGCAGTGTGTGCTTCAACCCACCCACCCACCTATCCCCCCTCATCTCTTGGGGCCTCGCAAAGGGCCAGCAACTGTCTCAGCTGGGTGCACCTTGGAAGGAGGAAGACAGCAGAGGTCAGCTGGGGGCAGCAGGGGTAAGCAGTGGTGGTGGCAGAGTGCAGGGTAGCCAAAAGGGCAGAAATGGGAGGAGCTGAAGTAGAGGCAAGCATGGCAGAGCAAGAGAAGCGTGAGGTCCTCACCTAATGATGGCACGGTCCTGGTCTAACAACTGCAACCGGGACTACCAGAACTGCCATCACTAAGCGGTGCAGTCATGTGATGTTTTGCCTAACAACTGCTTCACTTAACAAAGGAAATTCTGGTCCCAAGTAGGCTATTAAGCGTGGACTACCTGTATTGGACACTATAAGCATATATTTTAACAAAGCGGTGATCTCATTGCATCTTCAGTAATGGCACAGTTTACTCAAACTTTTTTTTATATAAGGGCAGTGGAGTTCAGTAAGTCTGAAAGAATATTTTTTGTTGCATAAGATGTAACCTAAAATATATTAAAGTGTTTGGCACTGATACTAGTACCTCCCACTTTCTGGGTAAAGTAGGAATCTCTAATTTTTATTCCATTCAGCCATTGAAGTTTGCATATAAAATTGATTAATCAGTAAGAGAATTTATAGAAGTAATTACAGATTTGTTTGTGTCATAAGATTTAATAATCATCTGTAATAGATCAGGTGTTTCCAAGGCTGAAAATGCTACAAATCCAAATTCGGATTATCAGTAGATGTTGTAATTGTAAATACTGCTACTGAGCCATACTAGATAGGCAGTTTTTATCATTTAGAGGGGATAATGATAAATATTAATCATTTTCATCTATTAATTGATCCAAAGCCCCAGTAATCATAGAAGAACATGCACCAATGCCCAAAACCACTAGTGATGTAGAATATATATAGGAGAGAGGAATTTCTTTTGAAAGTAACTGAACTTTGAAAATGTTATTTTACTTAAAAA